GATTCTGCATCAGCTATGAAGTCAGAAAAGACAGTTTCTTACATAATTTGAGGTGCTCTATAAAACTAGATTGGTCTTAAGTGAAGCGGAAAAACTTTAGTAAAACGTGGGACATATCAGATGGATTTGCCCTTCTCCTAGTGTTTTCAGCGGGATTCTTCACACAGCCTCTGTGCGCACTCTGTTTTTACACCTGCAATGTGTCGGTACAATCTAATTCCTTTCAGAAAAGTGGGCAGGTTCTACAAGAAAAAGCCTACAGCAAAAAAGGTAAGAACATCTCGTGTCGTGGGGACCTTTCTTCCATGTATTACTAACGACACTCTCCACGGTTTCAACAATCTATCACAGTCTTCTCGAGAAAGATCGAGTTACAATAACCCTTTTTTGATGCATCTAAATGAAGTATTGTATATTAAATAATCAAAACTAATTGATGTAAGTGAAACCTGTTACAAAAGTTTCGCAAGAATATACATATTTTGTATCGTCACTATATAGTCTACACTGCATTCTTTTCTTTTCTTTCCTCCTTTATTGCGCAGGTAATAAGTTGTTTTAAAAAAGGACAAAGTTTATCTTTTGAAAGAAAAGAAAATGCATGTTGAAAGTATATTGTCTAAAAAGTGGACCTTTGAAACGACAAAAGCCGACGTTTGACATTAAGCGATTTAAGCCAATCGCCTTCACTTGTTGTTTCAAGGTTACCAGTAGGATAGGCAGCAGCACTAAACAAACGAATCCGTTAAACGTAGCGCCTGCGCTAAATAATTTCATTATTGTGTATAGACTGATACTGCTAAATCGATTAAGGACCGAAGCCGAAAAGTCTGTTGAAAGATTTATAACAATTCTCCTCATTAGTAGAATCGCAGTGATGATAGGGTCAAGTTCAGCAATTCATTGGGCCCTGAGATTTCTCAAACTTTTAGGCTCTGCTAAACCTTTAGAGATCGGTTTCTGTAGGCAAAATCACTAGAGAAAATGTTTGTTCTGACAAAGGTAACCCAGTTTTGACTTTCAAAACTGTTAGGAGATAAACGGGTCAGCTTTGTAACAAATGCAGGCAATCATACAGGTGCTTGGTTCAAAAAACCAAGCACCAGAAAGAACCAGAAGCAGAAAAAATCCGGGGCGACTATGCACGGTTCTTGCAGAAACTTATCGCGACCATGGACGATTCTTGCAGAAACTTATCGCGACTATACAGGATTCTTGTAGAACTGGTCTGCATAATAGGATTCGGGGCGCGACTCTTGCTAACACGTGTCGCGATTTTAAAAACAAGGCACGACTCGCGCCGCGAGAACAAGCCGTTTCATGCAACGTGTGACGAAAGTGCGTGCCACCTGTCTAAAAAACCAGACATCTTCGTCACAACCAATCGAATTTTCGTCATAAAAGAGGTTAACTTTCGTAATCGCTATGTAAACATACCTAAACTTTCGTCACATGCCGAGCGAACTTTTTGTCCTTGAAAAAAGAAATTTCGTCATGTGACGAAAGTTCAGCGTTACTCTTTGTCAGACTGATAACTTTCGACACTCCGATCCTGTTTTATTTGTTCTTCTGTCTTCGTATTACGTGCTCTGTATATAAGACATCCTAGTTATTTGATTGTCTCTTTTACAGATTTTCTCTCTCTCTCATTTTATTCTTTGACCTATTCCTCTTTGTTAAGTTGTTAATACAACAGTCTATTCAGTTTATCTATTTTCTCTTTCTTTTTCTTTTTTGTTTTCTACTGTCGTTCTAATGTTCTTTCGTTTTCTTGCACATACGTATATCTAGGGTTGGTCATCGGCAATTTGTTATTATTAATATCTTAATGTTTAGTGCACCGGACTCAGGCGAATCGATGAAGAAGTACCGGCGAAAAACTTTGTCAATAGTTGACGATGGACGAGGCGGTGACGGGGCCCGCGGGGAAGAATTTTCGAAAACTTGACGAGGAACCGGCCGCTGACGAGGCGAAGCCCCGGGGCAGCTAAAAACAGTTCATCGTCTACCTCTGACATGTAATCCTGCCTAAAGTTTCAATAACTCGACCACCTTCCGTGTGTTTGACGACGATTATTATTATTATTATTACTATGATTATTACATTCACAGAAAAGATAATAGTATTTAAAACAGACGAAAAAGAGAAAAAAAAATTTTGTATTGGAATTTAATCTTAGACCTGAGTACGTGATGATACGGGATACAGAAGAAGCAATAATAAGAGAAGAAAAGAAAGCGAATCGATATAAAATGATCTGTGAGATGCAGTACTACGTATACGAAATGGTTCGTCGACGTTTTTTGATGGCGACTGTTGAACAAATTTATCCGAACACTAAAAGAAAAAAAATTATGTTCTTATAATAAGAACAAAAGAAAATACAGAAACATACGTCCGAAATAAGTTTAGCAGCATTCTTTCTTGTTTCTAAAAATAACTCAACACCATGCTCTGTAATATTATTCGGTAATACATTCTTTAAAAATGCCGGTGCACCACTATCTGTATTTGAAGTTGCCGGTAACATCAGTCGCATTTATTGTCAAAACTTATGTCTATTAGCCAAATTATTTCTTGATCATAAAACATTATATTATGATGTTGAACCATTTTTATTTTATGTATTAACACGTAATGATCAAAATGGATGTCATTTTATTGGTTATTTTTCAAAAGAAAAACATTGTCCACAAAAATATAATCTTTCGTGTATTATGGTATTACCTAATTGTCAACGAAAAGGTTATGGACGTTTTTTAATTGAATTAAGTTATTTATTATCTCGAAAAGAATGGCAAGTGGGCACACCAGAAAAACCATTATCCGATTTAGGTCGAAAAACATATGAAACATATTGGGGATTTAAGATAATTAAACAACTTTTAAGTTGTTAATAGTTTCGTTGTTAATAGTTAATAGTTTCGAACTTGACAAGCTATCACATCTTGTAGAGCAAACAATTTTCTACAAATTGGTATACTTGTTCAGTTTTTGCCAGCTCGTCTTCACTCTTTTAGACACGTTATTTAGATCAACATCGATTTTTGGGGCTGTTTGTACAACAGCTGTATTTTCATAACGAATCAACGTTCAGAGCCGAGACTATTCATTTTATAGAGAAATGTTTAATCTATTCAATTATCTAGTTGTAATTTTAGATTATTTTCTAACTTTATTGCCATAGTTCTTTGAAAAAGAGCGGAAAAAGGAGACCGTTAGCTGGACAAGCCGTCTACAAGGCGAGCATCCGTTTAGAATTTTAGAAACTGATTTTAATTCAAAAATTACGTAATATAAAAATCGATGTCAGTTTGTCGTCACACTCTTTAGTATAAAAGAATTCTTTTTATTACAGTTTAAATAGAAAAAATTCATTTTATTGAAATTTTCTGCACGCTATCAGTAAAATTAAAATTTTACTTAAAACCAGTCAAAAAAAACAAGCGAAACCTACTTATTTACCCGAAAAAACTTTCAGTCATCAAGAAATGTGCCAGACACTGTCTTTTCTTGAAAATTAAGACCTGAAAAGCCTGTTTTACCAAAATCTAGAAAGCAAAATTTTCGCTATCAAAGCATATGTCTTCTGATTTTTCAACAAAATTTTGTAGGTCAGAAAATCAAGGAGAAGAAAAAAGGACTTAACTATTGTTCGCTAGAGTCAAAGTATTTAATTTTTAAAAATCCAGTTTCGTTTTAGAAAAGATCCTATTATGTGAATCTTAAAGGTCGATATATCGGCTATATATATCACACTTCAAAACTCTGTTAGAGCTTTTATAGATAACGCAAACAATAATCAACAAAAAGGCTAAAGTTTTGTCGTTCACTCTAATTATAGATAGTAGGTTCGATTCTACCTTTATAAATAAGTTGGATATTAAGAGTGAATTCGACAACTATAAGCGCTATGATAAAAACTGCTGGATAAATGAGCGGTGAACTACAGGAAGTGGTGGCATAAACGGCTATTGACACCTCCAGGATTTAGCGACCGAACCAAGGCTTACCTTGGAAGAGTTGTCGAGAAAAGCTATTGGCATCTTCATGCTTAGAGGTGGTAGGAAAAGCTATTGACACCAGCATCATGGAAGTGTCATAGCTCTTCCTGCCACCTCTAGAAAACCTTGCCAAAAATGCTGCAAGAACGGTGCATGATGCAAAAAAACTTTTGCAGCAAAACATGTGCGCAATGGCCGACTGCAGGGTAACGTTCTCTGATTTTCAAAATTTTCTTTGATATGTTTTAAATTCATATTCTTTTAAAATTAAAAACTCAAAATTTAATTTTTTTCTAAATTTTCCTATTAACTCTGAAAAACAGACAAGATTATCCCGGAGTCCGCCATTGATCTTTGGCAAGAGTTCCACACTGCAGTTAAGGAGCGGCTTCATACACCTTATATGTGCATCCAAACTATATTAGTTTGAAGAGGACGATTGAATTTAAATTTGAAGGACTATAACATGCTGGCTAGAGAGCTCAAAGTGTGGTTCTCAAATGGCAAGTATTTACCCGACGAAATGGTAACCAATTACGGATGACTCAGGAAAATGTCTGCCATTCAAAGACCACAACAGACAGAGAGGTCGGCCTTGCGCAGAATTGTAGACAACACTTTGGGCTATCAAGCTATCATGTTATAATTAAAAATCCATCGCAGGTTCAGAATCTGGCAACCTCATCGCTTTTCATTCGCAGGTATACCACTTGAAAAACCGAGATTTTTAGTATCCAATATATGTGAGATGGAGTAAAGCCTTCTCTACAAAATGCTGAAAGTCCGATCTCTCTGTCTCTTCGTTCTAAAGTTATTCAAAAAACATTCATGGCCGCTGTGCTAAGAAATCCAAAGTGAAAACCGCGTTTACCTAAAACTGAGTAGAGATAACTGCTTATCGGTAACATTCTGAAAAGGCTAATATAGAAGTTAGTAGCGCCTGGAAATCTCAGTCGAATGGTGTATTGCTTTATTGTTTCCTATAGACCGTTAATTTGCAAATAAAAGTGTAAGGCACCAGAGTGATATTGATTAGTACTCATTAGCATGATTAATTATGAATTATTGTATAAAACAAACTTTTTACATCAGACCATAACAACAGTCCATTGGTTATCAAGCAACGTATGAATGACTTTTCTACGATTATTTTTGACTGAGCTATAAGTTTTTTAAAGGACGGAGTAGGACTTCAAATTTTAATTAAAGTTTAAACTTAATTAATTACAAACTCTGTGAATAATTATCAATTCATCGGGTGAATCAGGTGCCCTCTTTAAATTGACATAGTTTGAGGGCACATATAGGGGGGGGGCACAGTGTACCTTTTCTATGTGGACATTTATAATAGAAGCAATCCGAAAGCCTACAAACACTTTTCTCATAGATTTTCAGATATGCTCTTTCCAATAGTATGCTTTACAAAGTTCAAAGAGATTTTCATCAGAGTTCTCCAGAGACCGGATCTCTAGAAAGCCTACATATACGTATTCTGGAACTTTATAAAGCACACCGTTGGAAAGAAAATATCTGAAAATCTATGAGAAAAGTGTTTGCAGGCTTTCGGATTGCTTCTACAGTAAATATTAAAATCATTAGCCAAAATTGGGACGCTATGCTTCGACTTTAGCGTTTCGTTAGATCCAACAAGTTTTTGCTCAGAACAACCTACTAATCGCATATCATTCGATGCAGTTTCTTGCGCTTTTTGCTCAACATTCTTCAGCTCAAACTGAAAGTTTTTTTACTAATATACACTAAATGATGCGGAGATTCAGAATTAACAAAACATTTGCTCACTATACTAGTCATTTTTGTGTAAAATTAATTTTTCTGACCATGGTATTTGCAGGCTAATTTTTAGTTACCTGATTTTCCACTACAGTTGAACTTCGTAACAAAACTTGTAACGCCATTAAATAGCTCGTAGTCTGAAGTATATGGTGCACTGTCTAAACCGTTCATAAGTCAGTTTTTATATTTTCACCTAACGTCCGCCTAGATGCACACTGTGGAGGGGCTTCCCTTAAATAAATAATTTGTTTTTGAACACTTTATCTCAATGTCAAGCATATTTATTTGCTTAGTCTTTTTGACTTTTTCCTTTTTCTGTCACGTTCTAAAACCAAGAAACTTATTCTGGGTTTTATTTTCATTTTTTTCTCATGCTGGTATAATTGTTGACAGTAAAATAAAAAATAGTCAAATAGTTGGTCAAAAATATTAAGAATTACGATAGAATGCGTACTCCTCTAGTGAAATGATATAGAGTAAGTTCATGTTTTTTCATCATTCTTTTATTGAAATTAAGAATTCAAATGGTAAAGTTAAAATAATAAAAAGTTTTTTTAAAAATTGCCGTAGGTGCGTGTTTTTCGCTATTTTCGCCATTTTTCGATATTTTTGGCGAACGTAATAGAAGACGAGTGGTCTTCTATTACGGAATGGGCGGGTTAAAAGATCACGGACTTCTATTTGGCTTTGAAGTCATATAATCAGTAGTGGTCTCTGTAACGCATGTCTGCTATTGTTCTGGGGAATTCTGTCCTTCTCATCCCACATATTCATATATCTCATCACTTCTCACGTCACTTCCTACACCCACACATTAGAAATGTATATATATTAGTGGTGTGTTGTGGAGGAAGGAGGGTAGAATAATAAGAAAGAGAAGGAAGAAGCTGTCCTTATTTTTATTTAGTGCCTTTCTTTTTGTTTGAGTAAGATTGGATTTCTTTTGTTTGTATAATGTTATAGTATAACACCACTTGTCGGTGACACAGTTTTATTTGCATGCGTTGTTTTGAATAGTATTCAAGAATAAAATAATCCTTGAAGAATCATTTTTGTCACAGTCTCCTATTATGGGGAGAGGTACACTAAACATATACAACATTCTATCCGGACAAAGAAATCAAATTTACTCTTTTATTAAATTGAAAAACCAAAATGTATAACAATATAAAACTGGCTCTTTTTGTTTTAACAACAATTGTTTTTAGGTGTTTTACGATTATTGTTCATTTTGATGTTAAACCACATTTATGGATTGGTTTTAGATGTTCTTAAAAACATAGAAATGTTACAATGTAAAGTAAGATTCTGTTTGGTTAGTTCGTACTGCCATGTTCAAAATATTCAATTTCTTTATCAAAAAATGTAATATGCCTAACATGATTATTAGTCAGAATTTGTTGATATAAACTTTCCTTTTTAATAATAATATGTAATGGCTTTTGTTCAATTGATGCCCTTGCTATGGATATAAATTTAAAACAATTTCCACCCGGTATTTTAAAATCAGTTCGGTTTAGTTCATGCCGATTTAGGCGTATACTGCAGTGTAAAAATTCTCAGAAAATTATCTTTATTTTCAACTGAACATTTGAACCAACAATTTTCAGGTCAGAATTTACACTTAGAGTTTTTCGTTGCCTTCTTTTCCAATCTGTTCAGCTGAACATTCTACTTTTATCTGTTCTCCACCGTGATCACATAATACACGCGGCGTTATTTTAAGCGTTATTCAGCCAAGAACGTCTGCTTCAAAATTACAACTAAAGGGAGTAAAACTCAATTCCGCTACATTGTACTTTTTAAATTGATGATGCCCTTTTGAATTGCGGTATTTCACCATTTCCTAAAATAAATATGTTATGGTACTATGCCGTTGAAAATATGGAAAACTTCGTTTCCTCGGATGATGCAGTTGACAGGCGGGAAAAGATGAGGCTGCCAAATGACGATCTTTTAATAACTATATTATCTATTCCGACTAGAGAGAGAATGCTATTGTAAGCGGTGTTTCTGCATTTGTAATCAAGTAAAATTCGATATGAACATGTACACTCAAGTCTGGTCTTCTAATGATTTGAATCCTGATCGTCTAACGT